AAGCCTTATTTTTATTAATGATCAGAATTAGTTATTGTACTATCTCTAAACACACACACACACACACACACACACACACACACACACACACACATATATATATATATATACACACACACACATATATATATATATATATATAAAAGGCTAATATGCTAAGTGTCTGTCCAGGTAATGACGTCACTTAGCAATGCCTGGCTTCCTCTCCCTAGTGACGACTAGCCTCCTTGCAGTTCCTTCAGCCCAGGTTTTAGAGCCAGGTTGAAACATTTCACACTTTAACCAAATGTACGTGAAGCGTTTTCCAGTGACTCATCTCATTTGATCCTCACAGAAATCCTGGAGTAGATAGGAGATTTAGAAAGCTTAGAAACTCGACCTGACTGAAAAGAAGTAAGAACTGGTGGACCTTGAAAATGACTTCAGGTTTTCTCACTGTGCAGAATATAGTCAAACACTACTGCAGTTAAATATTTTACCGTTTGTTCTCCCTGTGTGATCTACAATAATAATCTGCTTGGTGTTGATACTTACTGCTGTGTTGCTGATAATTACTTGAAAGAGAAGTTGGGGTGCTTCACTGGGCTGGAAAAAGTTTAGTTACATCAGAAAAGTTTAGTTACATGAGTAGTAGCATATGACTATGATACTACTGACACACAGGCAGCTGAGAATCTGCTTTGAATTATTTGTATATAAATTGTAAGTGCAAACTGTAGGCTGACAAGCATTTTCTTCACTAGTTTCCTTTGAGAATAAAAACACATGTTCATAGGTCGGCTGCCTAGGATCAGTGGTGCAGCTTGCTTACAGGGAACAGGGTCTGGCAGGCATTTATTTGGTCTGAATCTCATTAGTTTTACGCCTAGCAAATTTAGCAATCCAACAGTACACTCTATGTAACAGTTACCTTGTTAAGTGCTCTGCAATAGAGGGAGAGAGGCAGGGAGGGAGGCAGAGAGGGAGGTAGGTAGGGAGGGAGGGATGAAGGGAGATAGAAAGAGGGAGGCAGGAGCCTGTGGCTAAATAAGCCCAAGGAACACTACATAATCCTATAAAATATACCCCCTCTTCAAGACTTCTAGTTCACATTAGCATATTAAATCTTGGATACTTCTGCAGTCTAAAATGCATTAACTACATATAACTAGTGTTTTCCTTATTTGTTGGCATAAATACCCCACCCCCAACAAACATACACATC